TGTACCGTTGTGTGTCGTGTGTGGGTGTGTGTGTGTGGGCCTCTATGTGTCAGCTCCAGGGGCACCAGTGCTAAACGAGACTCCGACCGCTTCAAGTCTTGGTGGTGGTACCTTGTTTTTGAAGTTGCGAACCCGCTTCAGAGTATCGGCGCCGAATATGCTGATCACCTCCACCTCTGGCCCTCCGGCGGCGGCGGCTTCGCCAGCGCTGGGATTGAACACCTCGCGCACATGGCTGAACGCCTTGGCCGTCGGGGCGCCGTGCTTTGCCGCCCACAGGTCGGCCTTGATCCAGCCGCGGCCCTCGGCAGCCAGTTCGATCAAACGCGCTCGATCATATGCGTGAATGAAGCCCGGCGGATTGGGTTCTGCATGCGCGGTGGCGCGTGTGCGTTAGAGAACCAAACGCGGGTGTGTGGAGGTGGTGACGCGGCACCTTGCCCGGAGAGGAACCCGTCTTTGCCCCAGAATTTCCTCCTGAGGGTGGCATCGGGGGTCGGAGACAGCACAGCGGCGAGCACCTCGTAGCCGCGCTTCTGTTCCAGGTGCTTCTTGGCCATCTCTACCATGTGTATCTACACCGCACGGCCAACATACATGCGTGCGGTGAAGTCGGTCCGTCATTGCTCTTTTTCTGCTCCAAACGTCTGAGAGCCACGTACGTGCTGTCGGTGAATGGGGCAGAACGAGCCGCACGAAAGGATCACCGCCTTCTTCCTCTGCTGCTGGCCTGGTTGTTGTTGAGCGAAATCGTACTCGGTGGCGGGCTGCTCGCGAAGCGTTGCCATGATGTACGGCGCCACCGCCGCCTCCCACGTTCTGAACGAGTCCGCGGTCGTGGTGAGCTCGTGGCACGCCACCGCACACAACAGGAAGTGGCTATGCGACCACATTGGTGCGCCATCGGCCATGCGTACCCGGGTGTGAGCAGGTCGAGTCGTGATTCGCGATCCCACACCATCCGGTCCCATATCTTGAAGTAGCGTATGCGATGGAAGGGGATCCCTTCGTCCTCCTCGATCGTAAGAAAGGCCCTGTGCATGTGGACGCCGCTTCTCAGACACTCTGTGGCATGTGCGTGTTCGTGCGGTGATGCGTGTTGCGTGCGTGGTGTGGTGTGGTGTGGTGTGGTGGTGTGTGATGTACGTGTAGGAGGTTTCGAGCACGCCGTCAAAGCGGTCGAGGTGGCCGATGGTGCAGTAGTCGAGAAGGCGGCTCAGCTTGGGGTCCCACTTGAACCGCTGCATGGCGTAGTGGACAAGAGTGGATTGAGTGCATCAGAGTCAGTGCCGCACGGCAAATGACAGTCATCATGCTCGCAACTGCCGATGTGTACCTGGTAGACCAGGTGAGCCGGCTTGAGGTAGTCCCTCCCGTTCTTCTGAAGCCCCTTGCTCGCCTTAGCTGCAGCTGACGTGCTGGTCGAGGGTGGTGGCGCTGGTGAGACCACGATTGCGGCGCCTCCAGTGGTGGGAGATGATGGCTTGGTGTGGCCTGGGCTGGGGGCTTTCTTCTTCTTCTTGGGGCCAGCTCTAACCGAGTAGTTGGCAGGCTCGTCGTCGTCACCATAGATATCCTCGTCTATAAAGTCTTCCTCTTCTTCCTCTTCCTCTTGGCATCTCGGTACTCATCTTTCTCATCGCCCGCTACTCGATTGTCGGCCAAGTCGTATTCCTCTTCCTCAAGCAGTGCCTCACTCACGTATTCATATTCAACCTGCTCCATCTCTTGGGCTGTTGCTGGAATCGACGGGTAACACAACCAACATCAGATTCTGGTCCTTTATGATTCATTTAGACCATCAGCGAACTGAATTCGGAGCAAAATCTGCAGCTGGGTTGGTATTATTTATTTTTACTTACAGACGAAACTGTGACAAGCTGCGGGCTGCTCATGGTGACGGGGTGTGCCAGCAATCCGCTGCACGCTTCTTCCTTCTGTCTCGCCGGGCACGGGCACACCCTGCTCGTGTTCACTGGTACGTCAATCTCAACTCTCTTTTCTGTCTAGCCCCCTCGCCCCCTACGCCACAGCCAGATCGGAGGCCTGTGCACGCTGGCGACAGCATGCAGGAACTGGTGGGCACCAACTCGGGCACTACCACGCTATTTTGCGTGGTGGTATGCAAGACTGTCTTACAGCCCTGCCGGGGAGTTAGAGTGTGTGGGGGCCTCACCAGAACTCTCAAGGGGAGTTGTGGTGAGACTGTCGGCGTGTCCCTTGTTCAGTCTGCCCCGCAGCCAGTCCCAGCTGTGGCGGCCGTCACAGCTGGGACCCGTTGGTTGCGCACCTTTAATGGACCAGTGTGGGATGATGCACGGTGGATGTCGCGGGATCGCCGACTCTGAAGCTGTCCACAAGTTGATCCAGACCTGGCGAACGTTCTACGGACCACCAAGCGCCGAATTGACGCGCTAGACCTCCAACAGAGCATGGTGGGATCACAAGCGCGTGACAGCTGGCTCCTGATTGGTGCCCGCAGCCAGCACTAAAGCCACAACATTGGGAAGCACGGAGGCGAAGTGCAACCAACACGCCGGCCGCAGTGATCAGCGGCTCTAACCGGCCTGGTTTCTGTCATCTTGCGTGCCCTGTCAGCTTGTTTCCGGCCACCTTCCTGGCTGCTTCACGGCCAGTCCCTGCTCCCTTTCGCTTTCTTCATTTAGACCGCACACGACGCGCACCAGAACCACCAGACGCAACCACCGAGGCAGACACCACACCACCG